ATGATATTGGATACTTACTTTGATTGTAAGTTATATCCGTTATTGTAGTGATAATTCCTGTCTCTGTACGCATTCAGAACATATTCCTGACCGGAACATTTAGGAATGTATGCAACAGTCTTAATGTAAGGACTGACCGGTTGTCCATCATGGACTGATATCCAGCGGCTTTCTTTGGTAATTTTTTTAAGTGGAATCATTGAATCACCTGTATAAATAGCATTGCCGGAAGGTACTGTATCACCGCTATCGGAATGAGTTGAATGGGAAAAAATGCCGTAGGAATCATCGGATCGTGGCGAGTGCTCTGCAACTTTTAGAGCTATTATCAAGATTTAAGTATTAAAAAAAAGAAAAATCAAGTATTAAATTGTGACAAATTTTTTAACACTTAAAATTAGTAATTAAGTATTAAAAAATATGCCACAATCAGACATTACTTTTTTGCTAACTGCACACGCAGTTTTGCTAAATGCGCTGCTAACTATACATGATGCCCAATGAAAGATGAAATTTTTACACCTATTTTCAATTTACCTGTCGCTACAATTTTAATAAATGGGAGTAAAAAAATTGTCAAATCTTAATTCTGTCGATTATTTGTCAAATTTAAAAAAAAAAAAACAGTAAAATTTGATTTTTTGCTCATGACTGAAGAAATGTTCGATAAATATTAAAAGTAACAAAATTGATAAAAACTGTGGAAACAAAAATTGATAAAAACAAAAAATAAAAAATAAACAAACCATAAAAAGTGGCCGTGGTGTTATAATGATTTCGCGATGATAAAAAAGCATTAGTGATAGTTTTGTTAATTTCGATACGTGGAATTGAAGCAGGTAAGATATCAAAAGATGGTATCGGTGTAATGGGACGATAACTATTTAATGGTTTACTTAATCGATTACAATTACTGTTTGCTTCTTTTACATGTGATCGATAGCACGAAGTATTTTTTGATGACGAAACTGGATCATGTGATTCCACTGGACTTACCGATCTCACTGCTACTTTGGACTGAAAATACTGCATCAGTTTAAAATATTTTTATTATTTGTCATTTTATTTTCAAAAAAATTTTTGAAAATTTGTTATTTCATCTTAAAAAAATTTTTTATTTTTTAATCTTGCTTTTTTCTGTGCGTGTGTGTATGAAAATGCTTTCAGGATTAAACAGCCAACAGTTCGAAAATCTCTCCTATTCTCCTGACAGGTGAATTAGAATGATAAGTAAATTATCATTAGCAAAATTTACTTTCCTCAACCTAGAGCTAGCTATTGTTAAAAGCACAAATAAAAAAAACTACTCTTTCTAGTTCCAATTTACGGTACAAAGGTAGCTGATATAATATTTACTTTTAAAATTCCGATACTGCTGATAAGTCATTTTTTTTATTAAATTTTAGACAAATATAAATTATTGCTTCATACGATTTACTTTGATTTTTCAAAAAAAATTTTTCATATCATTTATGCTTAACTTTTACCATATCTTAATTTATATCAATACAGCGTTTGAAATTTCATCTTAAAGAGCTACTACTTTAGGGAAATTTGAATGAATACAAATTAACAAACCTTCTTCTTGAAGAACATCAACTTAGTACACCGTAACACAGCCAATGAGGATGTGCTATTGAAATTTTATGTTTCTGATTAATGTTTGAGTTTACTCTGTTTGTTTTAAGCAAATAGTGCATCTGTCTGTTTGTATGCCTATTTAAACATTTTCTGGAAAAGTATCATCACAAACAAATTCATCATCCATTGATTTGATCAAATTTGACATCATCAAATGAAAGTTATTCACAGTTTTTTATTGATCCACCCAGATTCTTATAATAGAAATTTTATATGTGGATTATTGATTATTTGCATTTATGAATAAGAAATTCTCGATTTTGTTTTCTCTCTTTGTCATATTAAAGTATTTTTTAGAGAATACTAAATTCTTTGAAAGTAATCATACAAGCAAATTATAAAATTTCACAATTCCAAGTGAAGTTTTATAAATATCATGTCAACTGTGATGACTATAATATTTTCTTCAATATAAATAACCATCATCTCTTCCATAAATTCTTCATTTCATATACCGATTGCACTAAAATTCTTATTGCCGCCAAATTAAACATACATAGAAGTTCTTTTTAAAAATAAATAAACTATCCGATAAATATACTGGAACACATATAAGTTTTTTTTCTCGTCTTTTTCGTACATAATAGTGCATATGGAGAAGCATACATAGATGCCTGAAATATATCTTTGAAAAAGCATTAAATTTTCATATCCGAACTTGCATCTAGTCCTGAAATATCTGTAAATATTTCATTCATCACTTTCACTAGCATAAAATTCGTTACTGCTGCGATTATCAAAATGCTGAAAAAGAAGCGCTGGCGAGTTGCATTACCTGCCAACTATTTTTAAACTAAATAAACACTGTGCTAATTTTCCCAACTTACATTATTTTCAAATGACTCACTGTTATTCTTTCTTCAGTCAATTTGATTTTCTGCTTAACTTCTACAAAAAAAGTATTTACAGGAAAGAATTTTTTTTTTTCAGTGCTTCTATGGCTTTCAAATGTTACTGTCATATTTTTGTCAATCCTTAATGAGTTCAATTTATCCATTTCGATATCACTGTTTCACTTTTTCCTTCTAAATTAACACAGCTGAGAAAGTGAAATCCCGTCGGATATTATTTTGCTTACCAAAACTTTACATTTCCTCACATGCATTGCGCATTACGATCAATAGTGACTGCAAAAAGGTAAAATACTATGAAATTTTAATAAAATTCTGAAATGAAAAGTCGATTACAGTCTGCAGTTCAGTCATTACAAAGAACATTTCAAATTGTTCATGTATGCAAAATGAAATTTTTAGGACATTTTATAAGAGAAATGTTCCTAATACAAAACAACTAACATTTCAATTGAGAAAAGCTGATCATAAAAATTCATCAAAATATCGTCAAAGTTTCCATGATAGTCCTTGGAATTAAAAGCATTGCAGAGTAAGCATACGAAGTTGTCAAAGTACAACGGTGCCACTAGTAATACTTGGGAACAAGAAGTGTACAGCAGAATATTCGAAACTGGATGATTTAGGGATGATAGAATGTTCCATTTCGAAATAAGTAAACACTGAACTTTAAAGACATGAAATAATAATGCTTCTAGCATATAAAAAACTAATCTTAAAATCTTTGTTAAATTTTTTAAAAATCTTTTCACTGAGAAATATTTACAGATTAATTTAACAGTTATAGAATCAAATTTAGTCATGAATTTAAGATCTTTTTGGATTGTTATGGAAGGAAATCATAAATTGCATTTATCATGTGATTTTAATGCTTCTGAATAATCGTTATTTATGCAAAACAGCGTAGCTTAGTCTATTGTATACTATCATCCATATAATGCTATATCAATTTACTGCAAAAATCACACATCATTTTGTGTTCTTTTTTTGTAATAAAATTCTCGAGAAATGATGCACTGGTAGAATGGACTGAAGACGAGAAAAGATGAAGGAAAGATGAAAGCGTACTGTTACATGATGTAGCAATGTCGTATTTCGACGATCTTTCAGAATTAGCCAACCCCATATCCTATCCCCTCTTCCAAACTCTTTGCAACTTTCATTTTCGAAAATATCAACAAAAAGCGACAATTATGAATCTGTATCATCATATCAAATCATATCATATCATATATTCTTCAAATGATGCTCCCAAACAAATTCACAGCTTACACTACACAGCTTGATCATTGAGTAACTTTAAAAGGCATTTCACTTGCTCGCACTGCGAGAAAACATGCAACATGCACGCACTTGCAAAACATACCAACACTGTACAACTCGCAAAAACACAGTAACGATTTCGCAGCCCCCTCCAAAAAAAATGTTTACGACGTTCAATTTCTCAACTTTGTAAAGTTCGTTCATACAGCACTTCATCCCCACTGAACTTCAACTCTGAATGGTGGAGGAGATGATTATGTAAAATTCAACTTCACTTCTGGTGGTTAGCATCGTACGAGTAATTACGCTATTACTTTGCGTTTATTGGAAAGACTGTTTCTACCGGAAGTTAGGGGAGAAGGATTGTACGGAGGAATTAGGAAACGATAGGATTGGATGTTTGAAATAAGATGAAGCTTGCAGAAGAGGATCAAAAAAGTGGAGTAGAATAGAGGAAGAAGTTATGTAAATTTAGTGATGGTTCAGCTTTAGGGTTTTAGTTTCCTTTTACTGTTCGAGAAAATTGAATAAACCACACTTTGTTTTGTTTTATTTTGCACTCTTCGTAATGCAATGAACAGTTATAATTTTGTTTTTTTTTTTTGATAAACTTTTGATCTGCTGAGAAAAAAAATGATGAGAAGCTTTTCGACTTTTTCATTTGTTTTGGATTCATATGTAGAAAAAAGTTTGATTTATGTATGTATGTTTGTTTGTTTTAGATCGAATTACACGCTATGAAATCTCGGACGAATAGCTTGAGGGGAAGTTCTGAAATTACGGCAAGCACTTCATCAGAATATAGCGAGAGTGATGATGACAGTGATCGACATTCAACAACACCATCAGTTGAAATACAGTCAGGGGATGGAGATCAGGATAGGAAGAGATACAAAGAATTGAAGCGAAGGGAATCCGAGTATTCTGATGATGATCGTTTACCTGCGAAATTTTTTCGGAAAAATGACGAGTATTCCAGAAGGTTAGTGCATTTTGTTTCATAATTTCTATAGATCATTTTTGCTCCCTTTTCGCAGAATTCCTGAATATATTCATTTTTTCAATATTAGTTCCTCTCTTAAGTGTTATGCTGTCCATTATGACGAAAAAATTAAATCAAGTCTTGTAGTGGAAGATTTATCCATGTTTGTTAAACTGTAACCTATCAGCTAGCATTTTCTTATTCTATCAAACTGTATTTTGCATCGATTTGCATCGGCATAGTTTTTTTAATATATCATACTCATCATATAAGATTTTCCTGTGCTTAATATATTTCTAGACAGAATTCGCCATCTAATCGTAAGCATAGATCTCATCAATCACATCATTCACGATTGCGGAAAGTTCGAGATGGAAATCGGAAACAAACTACAAAACGGGATGAGGGATATGAGAGACGAAGCTGTTCTAGAGAAGATTATAAGAGGAAAAGGAGTCATTCAAGGTCCCGTGAATGGTGCTCTAAATCTTGGAGAATGACAAGGCATTAAATTTTTTTTTTCATTCCCCTTCCTTCATCATTCTTTTGTGCTGTATTGTTTCTCCTCTTTAATTCTGAAATATTATTTCGGTAACATTTTCATTAATAGTTTAAACTTTCTTTTTTTTCCTTTAGATCGTCACACTCTCCAACTTGCATAAGACATACAGATATCAAAAAGGAATCCAACGCTGATGAAGACAATGATCATCAACAATTGGATTCATTAAAGAAGAATGCTCGGGAGGATGCTATCTGGGCAGAGTAGGTTTTCTTTGCTTAGCATTTTCATATATATACTGATCTACTTCCAAAATTTGACTTTATAGTTCGATGTTTTAATTGTGGTGAGATCTCGCCAGATTTGCATTTTGATATAGGGAATATTCCCAGTCAGTTGCTCTTACTTAAGTGGTTTCCTTATTTGATGAAGAGGAAGCTTTAAAAGCTTTGGTGTAGCAGATCCGCATGAGTTCTATCTCTCTTGTAGTCGTTGCATAATCTGAATGCGTTTTGAACACAAAAAGAGCTTTTAAGTGTCTTGGAAGTGAAGTTCGCACTCGTTATTTCAAAATATGGAGTAAGGTTTAGTATTCTATATCTAGGCACTCAATATAGATTGTTTATCACAAAGTTGATTTCATCGTTGATTAAACTTCCCTATTAGTTTGTGGAAAAGAATAATGCATTTTTTCAAATCTTTTAAAAACATCTTAGCGATTCTATTTTTTAGACGTCGCAAGGAGCGTGAACGGCGTTGTGAATGGGGCGTACGCAATGTCTGGGGATGTTCTCCTCTCATACATGAAATACATGAAGTGTATGAAGAGTAAGATATTTTCTTTTATGTCTTGTTAGCTATAGGGACATCTTTTATATCTTGTTAGCTATAGAAACATGTTCGATTTTTTTATAATAAGAACTGCGAATGCTTATTAAACCAGATCTTTCTCTTCTTCTTCTCTTCTTTTCTCTCTTTCTCTTCTAAAAAAAAGATCTAAAAAGGAAGAGAAAGAAAGTAAAAAGAAAAAGAAGCACAAGAAAAAGGTTTCTTATTATGATTTTCGTATTATTTAAATGAACAGAAAGGAAAAAAACTGCTAAATATTGTTATAAAAGTGACATGTCCATTCTTTTAGGTATGAAAGATTGGAAAAAGAGCTTCAAGAGGAGGAGGAACAGTTCCCTCAACCTCTGAGTGTTAAAGCTACTGAAATGGCAAAAAAGTCTAAAAAGAAAGAGAAAGAAAGTAAAAAGAAAAAGAAAGAAAAAAAGAAACACAAGAAAAAGGTTTGTTATTGTACGCTTATTTTTTTATTCTGCTGCATTTCACTTTTGCTGCTACTCTTATCGTATATATTTTATAAGAGCATATAAAACCATAGTGATGAACTCTTCGACCTATTTTCTTTCCGCAGCTTTTAAATTATTTCGCTACTTGTCAATTGTGAAAGAAAGTTATTTATCTGTCGTTGAGCTGTTTTCGACTATACAGATACGGCATTGTTAGTATATTTTAACAGTTATTATCATATCTTGAATGCAGACAAAAAGAAATAAATGTACAATTTTTTATAAGGTTTTGATATTCTAGCATAAAAAAGCATCAAGCGAGAGCGAGGAAGAATGGGTTGAAGTGACCGCCGAAATGCGAGAAGCTGAAGCAGCTCGAGAGAAATTAGAAGAAGCCGCAATGATTGGACCTGCAATACCTGATCATCTCCAGCAGAAACATGCTGCTTTAATCGATACTACGAAAAGAGTAAAGTAAGATTTTTTAAGTTTTTCTTTGATTGGAATTCCCAGCAATTTTATTAATTAAATCATATTAGAGAAGTTGGCTTCCTGCATAATGACCAACCACGAAATCACATATGCATGGATTCAAATGAATTATTAACAAAATGAAGTTATTAGTATGGTATAAGTGCTAGATATAAGAGATAAATTGAGCTATAAAGTTTCTTTTTCAGTTACGGAAAAGACATGTTACGGGGGGAAGCGGCAGCAATGGCTTCATATATTGCACAAGGAAAGCGAATACCTCGACGTGGTGAAATAGGTCTTTCGTCAGCAGAAATTTCAGAATATGAAAAAATTGGTTATGTGATGAGCGGAACAAGGCATAAAAGTATGGAAGCTACGCGTTTGAGAAAAGAAAACCAGGTCAATTCAATATTAATCGTTGCAGCCTAACTTAAGCTAGTAGACATGATATCAGGTCTGTTTCTTTTGGTAAAAATGTTTTTACGCAGAAGTTTAAGTTATGTTTTTAATATTTTTTCAGGTTATGACAGCTGAAGAGAAACGGCTTTTGAGCGGTTTTACTCATGATGAACGAAAGAAAAAAGAAGAAATCGTGTTGCAGCAATTCAAAAGTTTTATAGAATCGAAAAAGGGGAAAAATTGATAATTAAACATTGCTCTTTGCTATCCGATTCGTCCACATTTCATTTTGCAATTATTAATTTTTACGGAAATGATTAGATTATTACTGCTGCGTTGATGTGTTCATAGAGAACAACAAGACTTCACAAATATTCTTTTTTACGAGCATTTTGACCGGATTACCAAAATATGTTGACTTTATACATCAAAAATATGTGACAAAATTTATTAGCAACATCGATCTTCTTTACGTAGCTGGCGTTCACTTTTGTGAAATGAAGTGTAGAGATATTCTCTCGCTTCTTCAGTGAGCGCTACAAGCGCATCCGTGGTGAGGGAGCGATGCGAATGAAACGACTTACTGTTTGTTTGAGCTGATAAGTCAGGCTGTCATTATCAGGAGTAAAGAGCTTTGTGGATATTTAAGCACAATGCAGGGAAGAGAGAGAAAGTGCTAACTTTACGTTTGCCATATGACTCCTCTCTCAGAGCAAAATAATGGTTGCCCCCTTTGAATAGAGATGAGAAGTTTAACAGTGTCTTTGCTTGAAATTGCTTTTACTTTCACGTGTTGCTTATATTGAATTACATTTTATTTTTTTATTTTTAATTGAAATTTACAAAAATCATTTTGACCAATGTTTTGCAATATTAATCATTTGCCATACTCCATTTCATCTGTTCCATGTCATCTCCTTACAATCTCATAGCTTAAAATCTTTCTTATTCGTTCAGCATATCAGCAAAAAAATTTTGCAAAAAATCATCTTGGTTTTTATGAGACTTTTCAAGTGGAAAGTGAAACCTGTCGATGATTATACTATGGAAATCCTTGGTTATCTGAAAAGAGGTTTTAAATGATGTAAAATTATTATCGTTAGTTGCTACACTTCGTCTTTCTATTTCTTTGTAGTATTTTTTTTTATTTTTTTTTTTATTCACTATTCATAATTCTATGAAACTGAGTATTTATGTTCGTTAAGATCTTCCCACTTTTGAAGGCACGATTTTTTGAACATCAAGATTACTTGATAATTTTTGTTAAACATTATTAAGATTTCTTAAATAGTATCCCATATTACCATGTTTTTTTTTACTTTCTCGACATTTAAGAAACTCTTTTGAAATAATGATAATAGTTCCCCTCTCTCCCTATTTCAGTTTCTCCATTCGTCATTTCTTCATGTTCAAACAATCATAATAATTTGCTAGATTTTAAGCATTTTCAAATTACTTTTCTAATGTATTTAATATTATTCTTTAAAAAATTAAGTGTAACAAGACTAAAAACTTGAAAGATCTAAAATACATTAAGTTTTAATGGTATATATTTAATCAAAACCTCTACATGAGAGCACTATTTCGTTGTGAAAGCAGCTCTCAGTCAATTTACTCCCGAGCTTGCATTTTCCACTTAAAACTTATTTCGTACCAGGCAAAAGAATTTCAGACAAAGAAAATAGAGCAGTGATATATTGGTAACTATTGCAAGGTTTCTGCAAGAGTAGTTTTATCACTTCTTATGCAAGCACTATCAATAGCAACCATTTTCCGATTCAGAGATCGATTGATAGAGTTCATTTCTCATACATTCCAAAAATCAATTCCTCATTTTATAATCATTAAAATGTTGTTGAGATTTTTAGAACGGAAATAATGAGAGAAAAGATGCATGAGAAGAAGATTTCAAGAGTATTTACGAATGCAGCATTTTGGACGGATTTCCAGCTATTGAATTGGAAGAGATAGGGAATCACATTAATTAGCAAGCGATTATTAATTGATACTGATGTAGACAAGCAAAGATTTTAAATGCCATTCTCCAATCCTTACAACTTGCAGTGGATAAATAAATAGTAATAATGATAATGCTGATGATGATGATGATGATGGTGATGATGACGATGATATCTAGCAGGCAAAATATTTTTCATATCTTACCTTTGCAGCTTGCAGCTTGCAACTAGCAGGTTTGTTACAGATGATCAGTCCAAGTCTCCACTTTTACAAAGTTTTTATTTTTAGCGATCAAAATAAATTACATAACTAATTTATTCAATTTGTCGATTGCAATGAAACGATAATAAAAATGTTTTTTGCTATCAAATTTCAAACAGATCTTTCTTTTCTTTTTAAATGAATAATGAATTAATTACTCATCACAATTAGTAATATGAATACATATTCATGCATACATGCTTTATTTAAATTAGAAATATGTTTTTAAAAAAAATATTTTCTTTACAGTATCATTTGCAATGTTATTTATCCCTTTTTTAAAGATTTTTTATTTGAAATTTTTATTTGTCGAATATTTCCCATAAATATTTTAGAGTTGTGACATTTACACTAACCTATCATCTCTTAGAACAATGTATTCTTAATAAATTGTACCGAATTCTTAAGTTGGCTTCTTTTAATGCCCGTACATACTGAAATTAATTAATACATTCTGACAATGCTCTAAAAACTTTCTTTTCTTTCTTTATCTGCTCCATACATTTTAAACTTTTCAAAATCTTTATTTAAACAAATATATTTATATTTACCTAAATTATAGCTTAAAATTTAATTTCAACCATCACAATCCATATCAATTTGTGTGTTTTTTTTTTAATACTATAATTTATTATCAGGCAGGCTGCTGTGAAAATTTGACATTTGTGTAAACATTTTTTGATAATAAACTCAATGAATAGTTTATCTTTTGCAAGCAAAAAGATTGCTCATTTATTCCAAAGGTTATGGAAGCGTAAATAATGTAACCGCAATGATTGAATTTGATTTTAATCAAAGCTTTGAAATTTCAAAATTTTTTTTACAGCTAAAGCTCAACATATGAATTTATCAACGACGCTTCTTGATGAGGTGACACCAACTACGGCAGATGAGGAAACTGTCGTCGTTAATCCCGATGTTGCATCTACATCTGCACAATTAATGCCCATAAAGGTTTGTTATTATGAAATTCAAAATTGTGCAGTTCAAAATTTTCCGAGAAATTCAAACAAAAACATTATTTTTCTTGATTGTTATTATTCAAAATGTTGAAAGAAGAGAAGGTTAAATATTGTAGGTTATCAATATCACTTTCTTTTTAAACTTAAATCTTTGAAATTTTATAGCATTTTTAAAATATTTCAATTTTAACTTCTTGTCAATTTCAAAAAAAAATTCTCAAATTTCAGTTTTTACTTTTTTTAATCAAATTATTGAAAACAAAGTTAAAGGTTGAATTGTAAAAGATGTAACAGATGAAAATATTTCAAATATGATTGAAATGATAAAAATGTAGAAGTTAGCATTTTAGGGCATTTTAAAACGATCCTCATCACATAGTCAATTTCCTCATAACGATGCTATCCAGCGAAAACTCACCGGAGATTTTTTGGACTTTAAACAAACCTCCGATGGATTTGCCGATCGACCAACTACGAAAATCCCGAAATTAACTCTAACCTGGTCTGAGAAAAATGCAGGTATAATTTGAAGTCAACATTTTTACTCATGTTTTCGCAACATTGTTGATGTCTCTATAATTATCTAGTCAAATGATTGTTATCCAGGAAATCTCAGAGCATCATTAAAATAATCAAAATCTTAATTAAATAATCAAATTCTTTGAAATCAAATTTCAAAGAATTTGATTATTTAATTAAGATTTCTCTTTCTATCTCTCTCTCATGACTGTCACATAATTTTGAAAATGAAAATGAAAAACTAAATATATAAGGCATTAGTGACTTCCATAATCAAGTATAAATCAAATAAATTGTATAATCAAATAATAGTGATATACTTTAATAATTTCTAAATCACATATTCATTACAGTAGCTATTTATGGTGATACAACATCTGACGAAGCAACTACTGAAACAGATGATGTTCAAGTACCAATAATTACTCCAATTTCAACGGATCAACATTTATCATCTTCATCATTATCAGCACGATCAACTCCTAAATTATATGGTAACAGACAATTATTGAATCCGAAATAAAAAATCATTTAAAAAATTGCAATTATAAGCACTTTAACATTAAGCAAATCATTTGAAAGTATTTGATGCATTTTAATAAATGTTCAATTATTTCTATAACATTTATTTGTAAATTTGTCATCGAAATATAACATATAATCTTGCTCAATTATTCGTCGCATTTTTTTTTTAAATTATTTTTGTTGATAAAAATAATTTTTTGCAGAATATTTGACAAAATTTGCAGCAAAATTTCCTTTTACTGTGCATGCAACACAACAGAATACAAAATCGGTGCGGCAAACAGCGATATTGTACGATGATGATGAAAATGAGAATGAAGAAGAGATATTGAAGAATGATGAGGAAGAAGAAATACTGAATGTTGATAATGAATTTGTTGAAGTTGATAATGATGATGATAACGATGGTGATAAACAGCATGATAATGTTCAATTGCAATCAAATGCAAAAAT